AATTTGAATATACATCAACTAAATCTGTTTGAGTTACTGTGATATATATATCAATGCACCACGCAGAAACAAGCGGGGATATATACAGAGAAAGATCACAGTTAGCAGGTCTCGATACTGCTTCTGAGACGGTCAAGATTCCCACAAATGCCACATAAGCTGGGTAGCCTGGTACACAAACCATGTTTCTTTCCCATCCTGGGGCTCGTCAGTGAACCTCAAGCACAAACACACATACTTGAAAACAGACACACACACAGACACACACACACACACACACACACACACACACACACACACACATGGAAACAAACACGTACACAGAAACACTAGCACAAACACACATACTTGGAAACAGACACTAATAGACAGCAGCCAGATACAGGGAAAGAAAAAAGAACATATTCATTGACACAGACAAATAGACAAGTGGAAATGTTGAGAGAGAGAGAGAGAGAGAGAGAGAGATTCAATCATAATTTACAATATCTTTATAATAATTAACTTTTTACTTGAGGTATCATGAAGTGTGTTCATCGTTAAGGTCAGTTTTCATCATGCTTCCAGGATGAGTAATACTTAATTAATAGTCGGTCCATATATAATGAAGTTGCTTTATTTTTATTTCTCAAAATATGTTTCCATATGAGTCTTGCTTGACCCTCTTACTTCAGTATTAGGAAGTATAAATAACTCCCGTAGAGAAGCATCAATATATATATATATATATATATATATATATATATATATATATATATATATATGTTTGTATGTATACCATGGAGGAACAATGCAAGAGAACGGAAACAAAATTTCAGCAGAATTAAGTTACATGTCCAGGCAGACCTGCTACTACGGATCTGATATACTTGGCAAGCCTGGACAGTAATGAGAGGTTGCTGAATTGCAGCCAAACATGGGCCTATAGTGACAAACGTTGTCAAGTATCATGATGATGGGATAGGCTAATTCTATAAAGGTTTACTAGGACTTGGTCTAGAAAGCTAGAGGACTCAAAACAGAAGTCTAGGAGACAAGTCTTAAAATACAGAAATTAGATATAAAGAAAAAGATACGAGGAACAGAGGTAGAAGAAAGAGGAGGAGGAGCAGAAAGGGATGCTAAGGATGACATCTCGTGGAAGAAGGCAAGAAGAGAAACATAAGAAACCGAAAGGTATAGTTGACTTAATTTTGTGTCCAAGGGAAAAAAAACATGTGAAAATTTCTGTACTCGAGAAAATACAGGATATTTTTAACTCTTAAGAGAAATCGAACATGATTTATCCCCGAAAAGAAACAAAAGGAAAAGAGCAAGAGGCAGAAAAGAGGAAACAGCAGCAATACAAATGAACCTTTGGTAATGCAGTAGACTTTAAAAGAGGCGAAAGTTAAGAGAGAAAAAAGGAAAGTCGATAAGCGATGAGACAGAAACTGGTAAACTCGTTCCGTGCATATATGTCAGCAACTAGGGGGAAGAAAAGCCTGGGTTGTAAACTGTTGTTGGGAGTGAGTGAGCCTTATTGACAAGTGTCTTGGACAAACACGCACCTCTCGACATTCGGTATATGGAAGGAGACAATCATATTTAAAGATACAGTGACGCCGATAACTAGCCGTATTTGGCCGAAATATGACTGGTTGCTGGTTGCAGTGTGTGTACAAGGGTGGTGCCAGGGGGAAAAACATGAAAACTAGCATATTACCATAGGATACATTATGTATAAGGAACTTTTATTGCATTAATTTTTCACTATCTGAATGGCTTGGCGTGAATGAAAACAGGAGGGCGTTATTAGAACTATTAACTATCTAATTCATATTTTCTCCCCTCTTCGTCTTTCTAAACACTTTAACTAAAATTATGTTTTAAACTCATATTTTGTCCATTACAATAAAAATATATTAAAGTCAAATAATTAATTTTTCACTACTCTTGGGAAATGATAAATGCCAAATCAAATGATTTTTTATTAATTGTATATTTACCGCGTATTCCCACGAAGAAGAGATAATCAAGTGAACATTATGCACTTATATATTTGATTTGGCAATGACGAAATACTGTGAAACCTGGGTAACCAAGTGTGAACTGATTAATATAAGATAATCTAAAAAAAATCACTTTCCTGGCTAACATTTGCGGCGCTTCCAGTATTTTTACCTTTCCCTTGAATTTTATAATATATATATATATATATATATATATAATATATATATATATATATATATAATATATATATATATATATATATATATATATATATATAAGTATATATAATAAAATCGCAAACAGGGAATTTAACAGTGCAGATGGAAACCTTTAGCTCTAGATCTTATGCACTCTCGTGCGTCTTCAGGAGCTATGCAATGTTGCAACAAAAGATAGGAGGCGAACTTCTCCGAGGCAAGGCAGCCCATGACACCTTCTGCCTTGCCTCAGAAAATTTCCCCTACTATCTGTTGCTGTGTTGCAACACTGCATAGCTCTTGACGACATCTGCCTTGGCCCAGAGAATTACCCCCTTCTATCTGTTGCTGTTGTATATATATATATATATATATATATATATATATATATATATATATATATATATATATATATATATATATATAATAATTAATCCTCTTTCATCATGCCTTGTATTGGGTGTTTACTTTACACACACACACACACACACATATATATATATATATATGCAAAACAACCACTCTGAAAAAATAGAGAAATTCCAAGCGCTTTCGTGACTACTCACATTACCTTGATAATGTGAGTAGTCACGAAAGTGCTTGGAATTTCTCTATTTTTTCAGAGTGGTTGTTTTGCATATTCTGAAATCACCTGTTGACTGTGTTCTTGTTGTATATATATATATGTATATACTTGCTACCCGATCATCACTGAGTGAATACTCGCGGTAGACACTTTACTGTTTAGGTCACCAGTAAAGTAAACTTTCTGGCTTGACTTTAAATTAAATATCATCCCAGTGGCAAGCCTACGCCTCGGCTGGCCAAACGAATGGTAATGTTCAAGTACAAAGCTGCTTTAATGCACATAAAGTAAACACCCAATACGAGGCATGATGAATAGGATTAATAAAGGCAGAAAGATTTACTGTAAAAGCAACAAAAGTAATTCAGTACCAACAGCATTGTTTCCGTACCAAACCATCGCTGGGAGGGAACAGAATCTAGCAATCGTTCTCTAGATAATAACTTTATTGTACTGTTTTCGTTTAAAATTGTCTTTTGTCTTTGCTTAAAGGAAACAAAATATATTACATTAGAAGTTTTAGAGATAGTATTTGAATGACTGTGTGCTACCAAAGTTTATTTTACTAAAAAATTACTGGAATTCCACTGGGTAGTGCTTCTTAAACCCGAAGAATTGCTGAATGCCTAAAACAAATTTTCTTTTCAATGTGAACTCTCTGGAAGACATAGTTTCCGACAACCTATTAAAATGTGTAGGACATCAATGACCGTAAGTTATTCTCATGAGTTACTTATGGTAAATGGACTAGATCAATAAATCTGGGTATCCAGATTACAAGGCTAAATATGCAGATTGAAACTTGGGTTTGGCCTTATTTTCGCATCAAACAATAAACCATTAATCACTGTGATATTGCCAATGTTTTTTTGTTGTTTGTGAGATGTTAATTTAGTCCAATATAAATATCTATAACATTATGGTCTGTGAAGTTTCATTATAATCTAGCGACAATTTCCGTTCAGATTGTGAAATCATATGTTGTATTTAAAAGACAAAAACTGTATAACACGAAGCTAGACAAATCCACTGCTGATAAATATCAGCCTTTTTTTCTATATTTTACTGCAGCTAAGAAGTCGCTTTCTACTGCAGAAAGCTGCATGAACCATGGAAATGCCGACTAAGAACCTGGGGATGGCCTAGGAAGGCTTATGCCTTTTAGTGTGGGGTGATCGTGTTTAAACAGGGCCACAAGTAATCAGTGCTACAGTGAAAACTTTTCGAAGTTCTTAAGGAACCACTGAGATGGTCATCGAATAATCAAGATTAGTGTCAAGTAATTATTTCCTTAGTAATAAGCTAACAGTCTGTCTTGAGAGTTTCTTTGAAGACGTGTGTAGAGTTACACAAGACAGTTTCAAGATTTCAAAACTTCTACTTTCACGGCAGATGTTTATGTATATTTATAGTAATGCATTTATCACTGATTCCTTGCCATATTCATACATACATTTAACATACATACATAAATAAATAAATATAATATATATAATATATATATATATATATATATATATTTATATATATATATATATATATATATATATATATATATATATATATATGTCGTGCCCAATAGGTAAAACTTGCGAATTTGGCTTAAATAGCAACATGTATGCAATAATTTCGCAAAAATCATTCTGAATCTAACGAAAAATTATATCTCATTGTGTTTATTATTAAACTAATGTAAACTTATTTCAAATATTTATAATAAGGTTAGGTAAGTTTTCTAAGGTTTTTAGGTACAAAATTATTAATTTATACATTAATGTAAATGAAAAAATATATCTTTAAACGAATTAGAGGAAATTTTAGAAAGGACTTAATTTTAAATGAGCTCTTGCTAACTGACCAGTTTTACCTATTCGGCACGATATATATATATATATATATATATATATAATATATATATATATATATATATATATATATATATATTATATAATATATATATATATATATATATATTATATATTTATATACATATACATACATGTTATTTATTTATAAATTGTAATTTGCATTTATTAAATAAAATACGTTTTCTTAATGGGCAGGAAAGTGATAGTATCTTGGACTTTATAATACCATAAAGTGAAAGTTGTTGAGCATCAGCCAGGACTTAATGACCGTACGACGGGTCTCTTCTACCCAGGTTCCACGGTTGTCACACTTTGGGAAGAATGTCAACCTTTTATCACTTGCCTTTTATGTTCTAG